TTGCCTCACAACAGTACTATACCATAAGAGGTGATATGCTCCAGCGTCGAGTCACACCGGACTGCAGCCTTAAGTAGATGGAGAGGCTCATCAGGCTGATGGCCGCCAGGTGTTGGTAATCAGCGGCCATCAGCAAGGAAGGCTGCAGGCAGTGGGACCCTTACACCCTGTTCAGTAAGGTTACACAAAAATTGATGAATTGGAGGTTCCTCTGGGAACTCAGAGTAATTGTTCTCGAAATAGAGGTCCTCAGGGTTCATTTGAACTTCTGAGATTGCATTCAGGGTGTGTGAATAGTCTGTCCATTGTTCTGGAGGAAGAACAATGTCAGAAATGGAGTTGCAACCTGTGGTTGTAGGTTGAAGTTTTAAATCTGCAGCTTGTTGGTCCAACGGTTGGTTGGCCAGAGAGGTCACAGACCTCTGCGTTTCATGAAGGAAACGTTTAATTATTTCAAGTTCTTTAGGAGTCAAGTTGGTAGACTTACCTTTTTTAGTCTTTGGTGATCCTTTGTACTTTTCAGAATGTTTCTGACGTACTAAAGGTGGTTTTCTTTCAGGTCAAGAGTGACGATCCTGAAAGGTGTGGGTCTGAGTAGGAGAATGTTTACCCCCCTGAAGAGGTTTCCAAGAACCTTGGTATTTACCGGGACCTTTCCTTTGGTAAGGTGTCTTAAGCTGGAAATATGATGGGTTCTTGTCAACTTTGGGAAAGAGGGGTGCAACTTTTGCTCTGGTTGAGTCAGTGTCCACACTTACCCTAAGTCCCAAAGTTGAGGGTACTGTGTTCACAGCGAAAACATTCTTGGGCTCCGCTGGCTTAAATTGGTTCAGCTTTTGAAAAGCCCTGCAGGCTAACTCTCTTAGCTGAAGGATGGTGAAGGTTTGTGGGTCAGCAGAAATGCCAAGTAAGCTGGTAATTGACTCATGGAGATTCTGGACAAAGAGTGTTTTAAAGGTTAAATCTTCTTCCGAGTTAGTAATTGTTATAACCAAAGTAAGCGATGAACAACCGGTGATAGTAAGCCTGTGGGTGTTCATCTCTTCCTTGTTTGATGTTCAGAGCAACTATTAATCCTGATGAAGAAGCAAAGTCAGAAAACTCTCTCTCTACAGCTTGGCGCAAGAGAGAAAAATCAGATCTGATGTGAGATGTTTGTCGGTTGATAAGCCTTTTGACTTCTGTGTTAGAAGTGATTTTGATAAGATATATTTTGTCTTCGATAGATGCATGTGGGAACCAGCTGAGGTGATATTCCACATCATCCAGATACAGTTTTACATCAGTACCTGTATGAGGGTCAAAAGTTTGAATGCGTTTAGCAGTCATGTCCAGCTCTTTGTTTGTTAGTTCAGATTGAGCTTGGGTGCTCATTGGTGGTGAGGAGGGGTTCAGTTTGACCACTCCAAGTGTGTTTGGAGGGTAATGTCTGTTTACCTTAGTGGAGGACTCAAAAGTCCAGGGATACTCACTATTTGGTTCCAAGTCATCAGATCTGGATAAATGATTCTGTGAAATGAGATTACTTACTGGATGTGATGTATTTAGGCCTTTGTTGAAAGATTGGACATTGATGCCAGGAGGAGGTTGTAACCTCAAAATGGATGGATTCTTTACTTCACACAGTTGGTCCTGTAAAAATTTGATTTTTTCATCTCTGAGTTTTAAATGAGTTGGGCAGATATCATTTTATTCAAGTATAAGGTCATGGTTTTCATAAGATTTTCGTAGAGTTGTAAAAATCTCAGTTTTAGTTTTGATTTCAGTAGAAAGTTGGGCTTGTGTGTCTGTCAACTTCTGTTGTAAATCATCATAATATCTGTGCATTCTCAGATATTCTTGGTTGAGAAGGTTAAACTTTGTTTCAGCACCAAAATCATTTGTTTTGTAAGTATCCTGATGCATGCTCAATAATCCAGGTAGAAAAATCTAAAAAAGTTCAATCTGGTCCTCTGGACATAAACCCCCCCCCCGCAAAAAACAAATCAAAACAACAAAAAAATGTAGAAGCATTTCATCTTTCATCTGAAAGACTTCCTCAGTCTGAGGTGCTGTATTCAGCTCAGTCTCTTAAATAGCACCTTCTCAGAATGGCTCAACCAGTTTGCTGCTGACAACCAAAACCAGCTGCTCACATGATCAAGAAGGGCCATCAGCCTAACAATGGATCATTAGAGTCAGAGTCAGAGTCAGAGTTTCTTTATTGTCATTCGCACCTCATGTGGTACATGTGGTGGAGCGAAATTATGTACGGAGGGTCCCAGTTACATCCAACAATAAAATGTATAAGAAAAACAGTAATGACATCTAAGATATGAACTAAGAAAAACATCAACTAAATATACACTAAGCACTCATAACATAAAACATTGAACATCAGCACAAACATGAACATGAGTCTGTGAGCAGATGTGCACGCATGAACACATCAACATTGAAACAGATCAGCAGCAACATGAAACAGATCAGCAGCAACATGATATGGTTTTTCACAGTGATTATTCTAGTTAGAGATTCATGAGTCTAACAGCCTCAGGGTAGAAGCTGTTCCTCAGTCTAGTGGTTCTACACTTAATGCTCCTTAACCTCCTTCCTGAGGGGAGTGGGGCAAAAAGTGTGTGTGCTGGGTGGGTGGGGTCCTTCATGATGCAGGTGGCCCTCTTCCTGCATCTGGAGGTGTAGATGTCTGTGATGGTGGGGAGACTGACTCC